ACATAATCCATTATTCATGCATGCCATAACAGATTGTTAAGGTTAGCTTCGCTTTTCCTCCTTTTCTGTAGCTAGACATGGTCATATGACTCCTCCCTCCCATCCCCCTCAACCAAGCTCTGATTTGGTGAATATCACTGACACATCCCATCATCCCATCAGTCCATTAGGTTAGGCATTGAATATTATTAGTGATAGTATTCAAACCTTTAGAAGGTAGGCTGATTTGTCATGCCTCACTGTTGCTTTAAGCCGATAGGACTCTTGTAGAGTGACAAGAAAAGCTAGAAGAGTTTCCTTTTCTTCCTTTCTTTTTATTTTTTTTCCTTTTAATTAAGGGGAAAAAAATATTCTATCACCATCATTTCTAAGCTTATGTCACCAGAAAAGGAGGGGGGGGTCAAGAATGTAGTAAGAAAAAGCATTACATGGACTATAGATATGCAGCTAGATGGTGAGGTGGATTAAGCAAGTGGACCATTCTTGAATTAGGAAGATCTGAGTTCAGATTTTTTCTCAGATACTTACTAGCTGTGTGACCCTGGACAAATCACAGAACCTCTGTCTTTAGTTTTCACATCTATAAAATGGGTAACTATCTCCTACATTTGTTCTAGGGACCAAAAAAAGAGATACTATTTGTAAAGCATGTTGAAAGCTTTAAAGTGTAATATAAATTCTAGTTATTATTATTATTACTGTAAGGTGGATCTGCTTGCTAGGACTCAGATATTAAAGATAAGAGAGCAATCCCTCCAATTTATGGCATGGATCCTTAGAGGTGATTTCTGGAAAGGCACATTTAGCAATCACCCAGAAAAGGTTATTATCTATACAGGGCATATTCACCTGGATTCAGCAAGGTATCAGGCACCTCCATCAAAACCACTCTCAATATTGATCCATTCCTGGAAGCCTTCCTTAGATCTACCCCACTTATCTGTACCCATCTCAGGTATCAGGCAGTGACAAAGCAGGGAGGATTATCCCTGACTGTGGTGTTTAATAACCCACATGAATGCTGTAATTGGCATTATACACCAGAAAGGCAGGGTTGCCAGTTGTGGGAACCATAACTATTATTGAAACCTTATAGAACAACATCTGTCCATTCACTTTGTGGCAGATATTTTAAAACCACCAGATGGGTTCTGATCGTTGCTGGTGAAGCTCGCTGTTGACTTAACTTTCTCTCTGAACAGTTGGAAAGCTGGATGGTGCAATGGATAGAGGATAGGCTTGGAATCAGGAAGACTTGTCTTCCTGAGTTCAAAACTGGCCTCAGACACTTACTAGCTGTGTGACCCTGGGCAAGTAATTTAACCTTGTTTACCTCAGTTTCCTCATCAGTAAAATAAGCCGGAGAAGGAAATGGAAAACCACTCCAATATCTTTGCCAAGAAAACCCCAAATAGTGTCATGAAGAGTTGGGCATGACCACAAAATGTCCAAACAACAAACTCAACATTATCTAAAGAATTATCTCTTCTCATTGAAGCCAGACTCCTCCTGTAGTGTGATTGTTCATGCAAGACTTTGATCTCAGAGGCATGTGGCTCCTACAGGCTTTTTTCTGGTCTTTTTTTGAATTGTTGTGTGTCTTGTGCTACCTAGGGACAGGAATCTTTTGCCCATGTTTTCTGTAGTAAAGCTTCTTATTGTGGGCCTCTGTCCTTCTAAACATCCTGTAAGGTGTCAGCGGTCTCCTCAGAGTGCCTTTAATGGAACCACTAGGTCCCTGACCTGTGATTCACCCTCATAGACAAATACCCAATATGGAGCAGGGCAATCAGATACCCCGTTTTTACTTGTTGAAAAGCTGCAACAGAATCGGGGGAGCAATTAACCTGTACAAAATCTTACATAAACATGGATTTCATCATGCTTTTCCCTGTGTAAGAAACTGTAACTCCCTGTTGCCAGTTGGTTCCAATCTAAACTCGTAATCCTGGCAGTGGATGATACATAATCTGAACCCACCTATCCAATCTTTTCCCTTGCTACTTATACACTATACCCACATATAATTAGAACACAGGGCAGTTTCATTACGGACACAAAGCAACCATTCATTTGACTAAGGTGTAGAATTTGGCGGCTGGATGGATACAGGCCGTCAGGAGGTACATTAGTTATATTTTGATTATCACACCCCAATTCAATAAGTCATTATTGATCTGACAACCCTTTTTAATTAAATGACTTCTGAAATATTACAGATCTCCATTTTTAGAAACTCACTCTACCTTTTTTAATTTGTGCTGAAGATCAGGCCTGATCTTTCCTGTGTAAATTTATCAATGGCCCTGGGCCAAAATCAATAAAGTTTAAGCAATAAGTGGCAGAATCTGCCAAGGTCATAAAGGGAAAGAGTTGGATGAAACATTCCTAATTTAGTAAAGCCTTCAGAGATGTTGTAGAATGAAATAATCAAGCTGATTTTAGAAGCCACGGGGTATAGGTAGGGAGCTGGTCAGTTTTAGAACTATTGACATCTAATTATTGGGCCCAAGTTTGTTAATAAGGGAAGGAAGGAAGGAAAGAAGGAAGGAAAAATGAAGGAAGGAAGGAAGGAAGGAAAAAAGAAGGAAGGAAGGAAGGAAAGAAGGAAGGAAGGAAAGAAAGTAGGAAGGAAGGAAAGAAAGTAGGAAGGAAGGATGGAAGGAAGGGAAAAAGAAGTGAGGAAGAAAGGAAAGGAAGGAAGGAAAGAAGGAAGGAAGGAAAGAAAGGAAGGAAGGAAGGAAGGAAGGAAGGAACGAACAAAAGAAAGTAGGAAGGAAGGAAAGAAAGGAAGGAAGGAAGGAAGGAAGGAAGGAAGGGAAGGAAGGAAGGAAAGAAAGTAGGAAGGAAGGAAGGAAGGATGGAAGGAAGGAAGGAAGGAAGGAAGGAAGGAAGGAAGGGACAAAAGAAGTAAGGAAGAAAGGAAAGAAGGAAGGAGAAAGGAAGGAAGGAAGGATGGAAGGAAGGAAAGAAGGAAGAAAGGAAGGAAGGATGGAAGGAAGGAAGGAAAAAGGAAGGAAAGAAAGAAGGAAGGTAGGAAAGACTTATGTGGTTACTATGTACTGTGTAGGTAGTAATCTGCCACAAAGCAGAAAACCTCTTAAAGGAAGATATTAAGGGGAATACAATGCTATGAGTCAGGAGAACTAGATGGTTCAGTGGAGAAAGTGCTGGACCTAGAATTAGGAAAACCTGAATTCAAATCCAGCCTCAGATATTTATTAGCTGTGTGACCTCAGGCAAGTGACTTAACTTCTGTTTGACTTAATCCAGTGGAGAAGGAAATGGAAAACCATTCCTTACTTTTGCCAAGAAAACCCAATGGATAGTATGGTCCATGGAGTCACAAAGAATCAGACATGACAACAACAGCAACAGTCCTATGAGTTACAGCCTAGTTTCTTCCCACCGTGGTGCTTAAACTGGCACATCCCAGGGACTTCAAAGTCCCTAGCATTCTGTTCTACAATGTGACAGAAGGACTTAAAGATGCAGTGCTCCGAATCTCAAAGACCCAGGGAGTACTAAACCCAGGAGATGGAGGTTAGCATAGGAACTCAGGGGACCCAGGATAAAACCAGTTAGGATGGACCACCACACCCAAAAGCAGAGCAGGGGTGGGAGACTGGCCCCGGCACAATGCTTCCATTCAGGAAGGAAAGTTGGAGAGATGAGTCAGTCAAAGAAAACACCAACAAGTATGAAAAATTATTGCAAATCTAGAGATCTTCTCAAAAGGAGAGAGAGCAACTCTACAGATAACTGCAAGCACAGACTCAAAGAAAAACATTCGTAGAACAACATGAGTATCTAGAAAAAATGAAGCCAGAAAAAAATAGTGAAATAAAAGCTCCCAAGGAAAAAATAATTAGGTAGATAATTACTTTAGAAGAGAAAGTGGTAACCTTACCCAATAAATTAACTCTCTGAAAACTAGAATAAACCAAACAGAAACCAATGGCAACAAGAAATATCAAATAAAATCAAAAGATTGGGAAAAATAGAAGAAAAAACAAGATATCTTGACAATTGACTTGAAAAGAGATAATTTAAGAATTGTCTGACTCTCTAAAAATTATAAATTTTTTAAAAAGGATTCACATTGTATTTTCTTTTTCTTTTTCTTTTTCTTTTTTTTGGCTGGCCAATGGGGTTAAGTGACTTGCTTCCAGGATCGCCCAGCTAGTGAGTGTTATGTGTCTGAGGCTGGATTTGAACTCAGGTCCTCCTGACTCCAGGGCTGGTGCTGTATCCACTGAGCCACTTAGCTGCCCCTCAGATTATATTTTAAGAAATCATAAATAAAAACTATCCAGACTGATTAGAACCAGAGAGAAAAGTAAAGATAGAAGGAATCCAAAGATCGTCTCCTGAAAATAACTTCAAAAGTGAAAACTTCCAGGACTGTCATAGTCAAAATCTGGTTTTTTGTTGTTGTTCAGTTGTGTCCAGGTCTTTGTGATCTCATTTTGGGTCTTCTTGGCAACTGGAGTGGTTTGCCATTTCCTTCTCCAGCTCATTTTACAGATGAGGAAACTGAGGCAAACTGGGTTAAATGACTTGCCTGGGGTCGCACAGCTAGTAACTGTGTGATGTCAGATTTGAACTCATGAAAAAGAATCTTCCTGACTCTAGGCCCATTACTCTATCCACTGTGCCACCTAGTTGCACCCCCCCCAAAAAAAAATCCAGGAGTCCCACATAAGATATATTTACTGTATGTTGAATTAATAATTGGAAGAGTGCCCAGCAAGGGTGCAGTGGAAGGGGGGAGGGGGAAGGGGGAGAAGACATTAGATTGGATGCTTGAATGGTTGCATGTTCAGAAGACCAGGCTCTGAGTCCTAGGCCTGCTACTAACTTGCTCTGTGACTTTGGGAAAGATCCTTTTCCTCTCTAGACTTCATTTGTTCATTTGTAAAGTAAGAAGTTGGCCAAGATGATCTTTAAGCTGCCTTGGTTACTGGCATTTCTACAGCACCTTAAGGTTTATAAAGTACCTTTCACAAGTTGTCTCATTCAGGTCCTTATAAGTGAGGTATGTCTTACACTTTTATTTCTTCAGTTTTTCTGATGAAAAGCTCAGTTTTAAAGAGGTTACTGACTCCCACCCCTCGCCCCACCCTCCTGAAATCCTGGCAAATACCAGAGACAGGATTTGAACTAGGCAGTTGCTTAACTGAAGTAGAATATGGAATTCCTTCCATCCTCCATGTCTCATTCTACTTCCAACCCTGTTTTTGTCTTCCTCTGGGTTTCAGAATGATGCTCTTTTTACTGCTGCCTCATCCTGAAATTTCTGTCAGCATCTGGGACCCCCTCCCCATGGAGAACCCTCCCTTCCCCATAGTCCACTCACCATGGACTATCCCTCTGAAAGGTTCTCCTCCTTCTCCCATTGATGGGCTCCTGCTGGAGTCTCTATTTTGTGGTGGGGCTGCGGCTGGTCTGCCTTCATGTTCCTCCTGGCCCTGTCTCTGACTCTGTCTGGACTTCAGAACCATGGCCCTCTAGCTGAACACTGCCATCCTCCCTTACTCTCCCTTCCTTTTCATGTGTTGTCTTTCCCTGTTAGAATATAAACACCTCAAGGACATTGACTGTCTTTCTTTTGGCTTGTTTCTGTATCCCCAGAATTTAATCAAGTGCCTGGCATACTTAGTAAATGACTTCCTTCCTTCCTTCCTTCCTTCCTTCCTTCCTTCCTTCCTTCCTTCCTTCCTTCCTTCCTTCCTTCCTTCCTTCCCCTTTATTCCCTCCCTTCCTTCTCTCTGTCCTTCCTTTCTTTTCTTTCTACCTCTTTCCCTTCCTTTCCTTCCCATACTTTCCTCCCTTCCTCTCTCTTCCTTCCTTTCCTCCTACCTTCTTTCACTCCTTCCTTTCCCTTCTTCCCTTCTTTTCTTCCTTTCTTTCCTTCTTTCATTATCTTTTTCTTCCTTCTTTTCCTCCTTCCTTCTCCTCTTCTTTTCTCCTTTCTTCCCTCCTTCTTTCCTTCCCTCTTTCCTTCCTTCTTTCCTTTCATTCTTTCTTCCTTTCTCTTCTTTCCTTTCCCTCTTTTTTTTATTTCTCTCTTGTTCTTCCTTCCTTCCCTCCTTTTCTTTCTTTCTTTCTTCCTTTCTCTTTCTTTCTCTTTTACCTTCCTTTTTATCCTTCCTTCCCCTCTTCCTTTTCTCCTTCCTTCCCTCCTTTCCCTTTCCTTCTCTCTCTCCCTCCTTCCTTCCTTCCCCTCTCCTTTCTTTTATTTCTCCCTCCTTTCCTTCCCATGCTTTCCTCCCTCTCTCTCTCTCTCCCTTTCTTCCCTCTCTCCTTCCTTTCCTTTCTTCTTTCCCTTCTTTCTTTTATTCTTTCTTGCTTTACCTGTTTTTCTTCTTTCTTTTCCTCCTTCCTTCTCCTCTTCCTTTTCTCCTTTCTTCTCTCCTTCCTTCCCTCCTTTCTTTTTTCTTTCTTCCTTTTTCTTTCCTTCTTTCTTTATCTCTTTTTTCTTCCTTTTTTCTTCTTCCTTCCCCTACTTTTTCTCCTTCCTTCCATTCTTACTGCCTTTTCCTTCCTTGCCTCCCTTCCTTTCTTTCTATCTCTTTCTCTTCCTTTCCTTCCTGTTCTTTCCTCCCTCCCTCTCTTTCTTCCTTCATTCCTTTCAGCCTTTGTTCCCTCCCTCCTTTTGTCTTTTTCTTCCTCCCTCACTTCCTTCCTTCCTTCCTCCATCCTCTCTTGTTTTCCCCTTCAATCTGGACCCTTCTATCACTTACTGACTTATCTTCATTCAGAAACGATAACTCTTTTGTTTCCTAGTTCCCTTTAAAGCTCAGTTCAAGTTCACCTTTCTACTTGAAGTTGTTTCTGTTCCTACCAGGCGTGATTGACCCCTCCCACCATTGCGCTGTGTTTATGTAGGATATATTTTATAATATGCTCACCTATCTCACTTGTTGCCTTCCCTGCTACAATGTACGCTTCTTGAAGTAAGACACTATTTCTTTGTTGTTTTGTTTTGTTTTGTTCTTGATCCCCAGTGATTAGTAAAGTGGCTTGCACATTCAGGGAGACCCAGAAGTGCTGCTATAGCTTTGAAGCTTACTACAATACTCAGATCTGCAGCGCATCCAGCAGTAAAGTTGGTTCGGTGATTGATCTGTGATTCTCAGTTTCTAACTTTTACAGTTTCTGAACTCTACCATTAGGCACAAGTTAGCTCCACCCTCCCCCTCCTCCTGAGCTGGTCTTAAAACTTATTTTGGAAAATACTTTTATGTCGTTGGAATCAGACCACTTTGCTGAATTACGTTGTGCAACACTTACCATCTGTGAGTGAGATACTTGTCATTTTAATAAAGGAGATAAAGCACAAGTACATTTGGAAATTTTACAAATTTGCATATGCAACGAGAGAACTAATTACAACAAAAGAGATGTAGAAACACAACTTTATTTCTTGGCCATGTTTTTTTTTTTCCTCTGCCCACATGAAATATGAGAACTTTTAAATATAAAACTTGGTCTTCTTGCAAACTTTTCCTTTCTTATTGCCAGTAAGAAATGATATAATTCCTTCCAGATCTGCATTTTGCTTAAATCTAATTTCTCCTGTGTACAAAAGGACAGGATAAATGGGTAGGAGAGGTTGAGGAAATCCATTCGTCTTTATATCTGTTTAAAACTTAATATAGTGGGATTGCAATTCATGCTTGGCATGGAGCCCTCACACTCATTACTTGTTATTTAATTGACAGCCAGCTGGCTCAATTCACGTTAGCATTTGTAAGAGACACTTTTCAGTGGTCCTCCTTTTTTCTTGGACATGAGTTCTGGTTGAAATTCAAATCTCCATTTCAAATATTGTAGATACATATTAAAAAAAAATTGCAATCCTCTGCCTTGGGACTCCTCCATTCCAGCTGTTGATTGCGCAAACTCTTAAGCTTTGAGGTAGCAGTCCTCATTTTATTCCCCTGAGTTCTCTCCTGAACAGCTGAAAACATTAATTTATAAGGCTCTAATGAGATGGCTCAGTATCTTAGGCTACCCATATTATTATTGTTGTTTAGTAGTTTCAGTCATGTCTGACTCTTTGTGAGCCCATTTTCTTGGCAAAATATATTGTAGTGGTTTGCCATTTCCTTCTCTAATTAATTTTACTAAGGCAAACAGGATTAAGTGACTTGCCCAGGGTCACGCAGCTGGTACGTATCTGAGGCTGGATTTGAATTTAGGAAGATGAGTCTTCCTGACTCCAGTTCCAGCACTCCTCACTATGGTGCCACCTAGCTGCCATATTGGCTGGCCCACATTACTTTGCTATTCGGCATATTTCATTTCATCAGGTCTTTATTTTCAGGCTTCTTTGGCTTTTCTCTTAGTAGCTGCTGCACTCCTAGTGCTAATAACTAAGAAATGACCTTTATCAGCTAGTCATGTCCTCAACAGTATGGATCAATATTTTTCCCACAGGGGTTGATTTCTGCAGAAAGGCGATATTCAGACTGCTCTTCGTCGACTGTTCTGTTCTCATTTGTATTTCACATTGGGGACAATCCTCTGGAATTTTATCTCTTTGCATATATGAGAAGATAGCTTTAGAACTGGAAGGCAGCTGAAAGGTCAATTGGTTCAACCTCCATCATGTATAGATCAGAAAACGAAGGCCAGAGGGGTAAATTACTAAATGTAGGTAGTTAGTAGTAGAGATATGATTTTAACTGAGGATCTGGGACTCCCAATCCAATATTCTTTCTACTGTATTACAACTGACTTCTAATTAATCAGATCATTGATGCTGCGTGTCATGGACCAAAGGCCTTACTTCTCAGATTAAGTACTAAGTACCTACCATACTACAGTTACCCACTATTATCTAGAAAAGATTATAGAGTCAGACTGAACATTAGAGACAACAGAGACAGAGACAGAATGAGAGATAATGGAGTCGGGCAATGTTATCTAGTGTTTCACACAGGTAGGCCCCCATCTCTAAAAAGAAGAAAGGGAGGTGTATTTATTTTCTCATCTCTTCTTCAAGGTCAAGTTTGGTCATTGTAATAACACAACCTCCTTCGCTTTGTGGCTGTTCTTTTTTTATATTTTAGTCTCTCTTTATATTGTCTTCTTGACTCTGTTTCCTCCACCAAGTGTATGTTTTCCCATGCTTCAATTATTCTGTATTTTGAATATTTAGTTCCTTACAACACAGTAATAATCATCCATTTATCATTTATTTAATATTTATAGCAACTCTATGGTGGCAAAGAAATGGAAATTGAGAATTTAATCATTATGTTTATCGTTCCTTATGTTATTTATGTAATTTTGCTTCTAGTTATTTGCTACTACAAAAAAATAGTCAGGATAAGTTGTTTTTTAAAAATATATTTTACTGACATCTTTTTTTATATCATCTAAATTTTCCTCTGTATTTCTTTTTTCCTTCCCAGAGATCCATCTTATAACAAGAAACAAAACTATAACAACAACAACAGCAATAATAATAATAAACAGTGAAAGGAGTAAAAAAAGTGAAAGAGAAAAAGTTCAAGTAAACCAATCAACACATTGAAAAAACTCTGTTGTTTTAAGAATATTCCACACCCATGGACCTCCATTTCTGCGAAAGATCGAAGGGAGGTGTCTTTTCATATCACTTCTTTGGGGCTAGCTTAGAATTTACAATTTCAAAATACTCATACTGTATTTGTATTATACATATATTCATAATTTAGACAATAAATATATTCATAATAGATATGCAATATATTTCTGCATTTATCAGGAAGTTTGTAGAATGTTTTATCATTAATCTTTTGGAGTCAAAGTTGGTCATTGCGTTGATCAGGGAGCTTAATCAAAGTTGTCTTTAGAGTAATTGTTGGCATCATATAAATTATCCTAACTGTCAGGAAGTTTATTGCATGGACAAGGTTTTGTACCTCTTGCACCAAGCTATTTAAAAAAAAATTATTTAATTTTAATTTATGGAATAAGCAAGCATTTTATAATTAAAAAAAGGTGATTGTAAATGAAACTGCAAGGTATTAATTCCCTTTCCAATTCTTTCTTCTCTAGTTCTTATTTTTTATTCAAAATTTTCA